TACCTCATCTCACCTCACGTAAAATAAGAGTAGGGAATGGTACCCCTCACTTTCTGATGGATGCGCACAATTCTACTGCGCAAACCTAACCTAACCTAACCTACCCTAACTTAACCTAACCTAGCTTAACCTAACCCAACCTAACCTAACCTAATCTAACCTAACGTATTCTACCCCAGCCTAGCCTAGTCTAACATTGCCTCGCCTCGCCTCACGTCAATTTACGTCAAGTCACGCCAAGAAACCTCAAGTCACGTCAAGTCACGTCAAATCACGTCAAGTCACGCAAAGTCACGTCAAGTCACATCATGTCACGCCGAGTAACGACAAGACACGTCAAGTTAAGTCAAGTCACGTCAACTCACATCATGTCACGCCAAGTCACGCCGAGATACGTGGTCACGTCAAGTCACGCCAAGTCACGCTAAGTCACGTCACCTCACTTCACCTCACCTCACGTCACCTCATCTCACCTCACGTAAAATAAGAGTAGGGAATGGTACCCCTCACTTGCTGATGGATGCGCACAAGTCTACTGCGCAAACCTAACCTAACCTAACCTACCCTAACCTAACTTAACCTAACCTAGCTTAACCTAACCCAACCTAACCTAACATAATCTAACCTAACGTATTCTACCCCAGCCTAGCCTAGTCTAACATTGCCTCGCCTCGCCTAACGTCAATTTACGTCAAGTCACGCCAAGAATCCTCAAGTCACGTCAAGTCACGTCAAATCACGTCAAGTCACGCAAAGTCACGTCAAGTCACATCATGTCACGCCGAGTAACGACAAGACACGTCAAGTTAAGTCAAGTCACGTCAACTCACATCATGTCACGCCAAGTCACGCCGAGATACGTGGTCACGTCAAGTCACGCCAAGTCACGCTAAGTCACGTCACCTCACTTCACCTCACCTCACGTCACCTCATCTCACCTCACGTAAAATAAGAGTAGGGAATGGTACCCCTCACTTGCTGATGGATGCGCACAAGTCTACTGCGCAAACCTATCCTAACCTAACCTAACCTAACCTACCCTAACCTAACTTAACCTAACCCAACCTAACCTAACCTAACCTAACCTAACGTATTCTACCCCAGCCTAGCCTAGTCTAACATTGCATCGCCTCGCCTCACGTCAATTTACGTCAATCCACGCCAAGAAACCTCAAGTCACGTCAAGTCACGTCAAATCACGTCAAGTCACGCAAAGTCACGTCAAGTCACATCATGTCACGCCGAGTAACGACAAGACACGTCAAGTTAAGTCAAGTCACGCAAAGTTACGCCAAGTCTCGCAAAGTCACGTCAAGTCACATCATGTCACGCCGAGTAACGACAAGACACGTCAAGTTAAGTCAAGTCACGCAAAGTTACGCCAAGTCTCGCAAAGTCACGTCAAGTCACATCATGTCACGCCGAGTAACGACAAGACACGTCAAGTTAAGTCAAGTCACGCAAAGTTACGCCAAGTCTCGCAAAGTCACGTCAAGTCACATCATGTCACGCCGAGTAACGACAAGACACGTCAAGTTAAGTCAAGTCACGCAAAGTTACGCCAAGTCTCGCAAAGTCACGTCAAGTCACATCATGTCACGCCGAGTAACGACAAGACACGTCAAGTTAAGTCAAGTCACGCAAAGTTACGCCAAGTCTCGCAAAGTCACGTCAAGTCACATCATGTCACGCCGAGTAACGACAAGACACGTCAAGTTAAGTCAAGTCACGCAAAGTTACGCCAAGTCTCGCAAAGTCACGTCAAGTCACATCATGTCACGCCGAGTCACGCCAAGACACGTAGCCAAGTCACGCTAATTCACGCCAAGTCACGTCACGTCACCTCAACTCACCTCACCTCACCTAACAGCAGGGAATGGTAGCCCTCAGTTACTGATTGATGCGCACAAGTCTACTGCGTAAACCTAACCTAACCTAAACTAACCTATCCAAACCTAATCAAACCTAACCTAGCCTAGCATAGCCTCGCCTCATGTCAAGTCACGTCAAGTCACGGCACCTCACGTCAAATCACGCCAAGTCACGTCAAGTCACGTCATGTCACTTCACGTCACCTCACTCCACCTCACCTAACTTAAATAAAAGAAAATCTTAATGCATTATGAACAGCAGGCAGAAGAACTCCGCGCAGGGGAACTTGTAGTGCCGACAGCAAGAAACGTTATCGTGTCACCTTGAGCCTTATCGCGCGACATACAACAGGTACGTGTACAGCACTGGCAAAAGCCAGGCGGCAGTACAGTCCCTGCAACTTTTCGTGAGATCAAGGTTTCTAAACAGTTTTCCTCGCTTTAATCACCGCCCATCTAACGCTACGGCCTTACCCATTTTTATTCTGTCATCGCAAACTCAACGTACCCCCAAAACGGGTATGTGCCTGGTTCGAATCTCGGCCGGAACACTGACTTTCCTGGCTGCGGTGTTCGTGGCTTTCCCCAGTCTCTCAAGGGAAATGTAGATGAAGTGCATTAAATTAGGCCACGATCACTTCCCGCAACAGCCTTTCCAATTCACTACTTACTGTCACTCAGTCATTCGGCTCCACATAGTCCGAATTACTGACATCATTAAATAAACAACAAAAACATATTGTAGCATGTAGAACCGTTGCTAAATAATGACTCTGCAAACAGAGCCCACTGCTGGGCAACACATTCCTAACGCACCAATGTACTAACTGGAAAGTGGCGTTCTCTACGCGATCTGTGTGACGCAACAATAGAAGAGCTGTTGGGACAGGTGTTTTCTGTGTGGTCTGTGCCGAGGTGTTATGAGTAGGACAAGTCTAGAGTTTAATTACTTGTGAGACAGGCGCCGACCAGTAAGGACGTGAACACGGAAGCTGAGGAAGCTACGGCTTTGGAAGCCGTTACCAGGTGACAGCCGATGAAGATAAAACAGACTGAGAAGACTTAGCACGTGAATTAGCGATAGCGCTATATTTACTTGTAGTAGCGTTCTGCAAGAGTTAAATAAACCCAATTACCAATCTAAACCCCTTCTGTAATCACACTGTATCATGTGACAATATAGAGCTAATGTTATTGAACTGTTTAATAAAATGCCAACCAAACTGATATGCATAGCAGTGTATCTGCATCGTAAACTTCGCAAGTTACCGATCGAGCACCTTGTAGTGACAAGTCCCGTTCATGTACTGTCTTTAAATTCGCAGATTTTGCTAAAACTGACGGCGTACAATAAATCCTCGCTAATCCGGATTAACTGGGGGGGGGGGAAATCAGCCAAAATAAGCCATAATCCAGTTTAGTGAATAAAAAGGTAGCACTAAAAAATAAAAAACAAAACTCAGGCCAGAAATAAATGGAAAATGTATTGATATAAGTAGTGCTGATGAACATAAATAAAAGCAATATTACTGTAGAGTCTTCAATTAAAAATTATAAGACAATACATTTATTCATCAGTATAAGACTCGGAAGTTGTTCTTGTTTTTGAACGTAATAATGTAGGTTTGAAGAAAGTGTCAAGTTTTGTCTCAACAGACAAGGGACCCATCTGCCTTCATAAATGTCATGTGTCTTATAAAGTGTGTACTCAGTTGTGTACAGCATTTTCCACATTTCGATCCGGATTAACTGTAACCGGATTAGCGAGGGTTTACTGTATTCGCGCTGGAACCAGTATGAGAGAAGCGGTTTTCACGGCAAAGAGCACCTTGAGTTACAGCACCTTCTGGATATTAACATTTCGAGGGACATACTCTTACCGTCTCCATCCGCCCTTAAAATGGCGGCCGTACGTTCCTCCGAAACGTTAGTATTCAGCTACTGGGATATACGGTGTCACAACACAGAAGTTTGGAATAAGGTGGTGGAGCATGTTTGCGCTTACATGCCACAGATGAGTTTGAGCTTCATGTAGTAGTTGAGAACGGCAAGAATGGTTACCTCACCAGGAAAGTGACTAGCTACAGGCAGGTCCGGGATTCAGTTCCCGGCAGGGACAGAATTTTGCTCTTCGTCATGATGTCCAAACCGATTTCAGGAACCACCAAGCAGTACCAAACTCCTGCCGTGGGAGCAGAAACTGAGCAAGTTGGCTCAAGTGGGGTCGATACTGGCTTGTATTCTGCAGGTGTGCAGTTCAAATCTCGGTCTGGCCTCCGACTATTCTGTGGTTTTCCTCATTCTCTCCCCCCAAAAAAATCCGTGGTTTTTAGTCCGCAAACTATATCGACTGAGCTACCGCCGCTTGTCGGTGAAGTTAGTACCATCTTTTAGCGGATAGAGGGTGTCAAGTGGTCAGCGCAACGAATCCCCATGGCCGTTAATTTCGGTTTTCTAGGCCAAATTCCAAAATAGTACCTCAAATTATACCACGAACCACTTCCTGACGCATTCCCCCTCCCCAGTTCACATTTCACTTATCGTCCGACAATTCAGTTCTCTACGGTCCACATTACTGAGTTCCGCTGCGTAGCAAAAGGTAAAGGTGTCCTTGTGCTTAACTAATTAGCAACTACGCCATGAAGGTGTATGGGGGATTGTATGTATAGATACAGGTTTTCTTCACCTCGGCACTAGTTGGTGAGTGGTTCAGCTTCACGCCTCGGCCGCTTTACCCTCGGTGGAAAGATCTCCTAGTATCCATTGTATAGGAGACTGGGTGGGCCCCAAAGCCGGTCTGGACGACGTGGAGAGGAACAAATTCTTGACCCTACCGGGATTCTAACTCTGTCGTGCAGCCCGTAGCCAGTCGCTATACCGACTGAGCTGTCGCGGCTCCCGTTTTGTTACGTAAGCCACAAATAAAACAGAAGACGGAAGATTTCATGCACTCCAGATGCAAATCTTAAAGTAAGCACGTCTCTGTTAATTATATCTTGCAGCATATCTTCTGCGTATAATGACGTCATGTGATTATAAAGATAAACAATTTTCTTTAAATTAACAGCAAGACGCTAATCGCTACCGATACCAAGAAGCAGAGCTTGTAAGTGGATCTTCAAGCGACTGTCGTAGTGACTGCCGTGTTCGGTGGATGGGCAGGTAAGTGTGTCTCTCGTTTCCACAGTTTCTGACAGACGGGGATAGGAAGAGCCTTGTGGTAACCATGAACAACCACAGAAATTCGCGCACAACACAGGGGCACCATAATATAAATATTCAGGGTTCGAATTTAGACGCAAAACTACTCGTTATTAATGTTGTATCTTAGCATCCTGTTGCTGTTGGCATTAAAATCTATTTCCAGTTGTTTACCGTCCACCATGTCAAGTGGGATTTGTGGTGGACAAAGTGGCGCTGGGGCAGGTTTTCTCTGAGTGCTTCGGTTTCCCCTGCCAATCTTCATTCCACCAAATTCTCCATCATCATAATCACGCAGGGCAGGCTACAATAGGCCAATCAGTGGCAACAACAAATCTATAGGGTCACAGGACGGTTATTATTATTATTATTATTATTATTACTATGACCTGAGATAGATGAGGTGGAGTCCTAGACATTCAAGAATTTGGGGCCCCCACCACATGCTGAAAACTATATAAGTATATGAATATATTTAATAAGTACATTCAAAAATCACGTTTTATTTCATCTATTGAAGGAAATTTTAAATTGCCAATAAAAAAATACACCGTTTTACTTTTTCTACTTTATTTACATATAATTTGGCAATCTCGTGTAATACTATCCAAATCTTAAATCTAACATTAGAACGCAAATTAATATCGATGAAAACCCAAGAATAATAAATCAATAATTCAGTTAAATTCACTTCCCTCATTCTTGCTTACTTGTTATCGTTTTGTAATTAAATAAGAGTATTTTGGGGATCCACCAGATCAGGGTCCAGGGCCAAATGGCCGTGCTTGCACCTCTTTATATAGGCCTGATTTTCGTTATTACAACCATAGCCAGTAACCGTTACTTCTCAACACAGAAACAATGTCATTGCGCGTTATATTTTGTGATTGTGAAACATCCGGTACTTTCAAGGACGAAACACTTGCAAGGCACTGTGGAACACAACTGGTCTTGAAAGTTTAATAAAGTGGGTTCAGATATATACAAAGATAAGACATTAATCGCTTAACTCATTGCTCCCAGACTATACGAGTACACAGGACGCGCCATAGCTCAAGCGGTTAGTCGCTGGCTTTACATCGCGGCGGACCGGTTTCGATCCCGGGTCTGGGGCGGGTTTTCTCCGAGTACTTCGGTTTCCCCTGCCAATCTTCATTCCATCAAATTCTCCATCATCATAATCACCCGGGGCAGGCTACAATAGGCCAATCAGTGGCCGCCGTGTCGAGTGGGCCCAGTTGGGCTCCACCCTCCACTAAGCGAATTAAAAAAAATCGTGTATATCTCTAGTCTCTTATTCGTGAGGTACTAGATCGGATCTCGGCCAGGATACCGTGGTTCTCACCCATCCCTCCAAACAAATGATGGGACAGTACCTAGAGACAGACCACGACCGCTTCCATCCAAATAATTTCCAATTCAACATTCACTTAGCAGCCTTCTTTCTCCGTCACCACCACTCGACGCTACACTCTGTAGCTGCTGAAAACGTCATTAAATAACACAAAAAATGGTTGCCAGTTTAAACTCTGCGGCCTGTAGTCCGCAAAAGAACTATACCGACCGAGCGACCGCCGCTTGTCGGCGAAGTTAGTGCCAACTTTTACGGATAGAGGGTGTCGCGTGGTCAGCGCAGCGGATCCCCACGACCGTTAATCTCATTTTCTAGACCGGAGCCGCTATTTCCTTGAAGTAGCTCATCAATTATCCTTAGGAGGCTAAGTGGACTCCGTTCCAGACCCAATGCTTCTCAGAAAATCTGGTAGCGCCGAGAATCTAACCTGGAACCTCTGGATTTGTAGCCAGGAACTCTGACCGCTAGACCAAAGAGGCGGTCTAAGTATTGTCAGTATCAATAGGAATAGGCCTACATTGACCCAGACGTCAAAGGAGGTTCAGATTCCATAGAATTAGGGGTTGCTATAGACAGATGGGGCCGGTCCCGGTAGCCTAGCGGTCTAAGCCATACACTGTCTTCGCTCGCTCGGAAGGCGAGATCTTGGGTTCGAATCCCACTCAGGGCACGGATGTTTGTGTGCGTTTCTCTGTGTTTGTCTACAGGTAGAGGCCTTGCGACTAGCTGATCACTCGCCCAAGGAGTCCTACCGTATGTGTAAGATCTAGAAAAACCGAAGTGAACTGAGTTCATGGAGGTAGGCCTAGGCCCACTGGGGCTGTAGTGCCAAGACAAGAAAATAGACAGATGGGAGGATGTATAGGAGGATGGCCGGGTGGATGCATGGGATGTATGGCTGCATAAGCAGATAGGTCCGTAAAGAGATCAAGATACCAATCACACTGTTTTATTTCCTCGGCCAGACATGGGGAACTCGCTGTTGCACGAGGCTGCAGGAGCCGGGGACGAAGCAGAGCTCTCACGACTGTTGGACGAAGGAGACAGTATCTACGCCCGCAATCAGTTCGGTGAGGCCGCGCTGCACATTGCGGCGGGGTACGGACACACGCAATGCATCCGACTTCTGCTGGAGCGGGGTACAGACCCAAACATCAAGGACAACAAGGGCAACACTTCACTTCACGTCGCCTGTGACTACGGGAGGGTTCATTGTATCAACTTGTTGCTGGACAGCGGCGCAACACTGGACTCCAGGAATGAGAAGGGGATGACTGCTCTTCACACTGCCATCCTCAGGGGGCACAGCGAATGTATCAAGTTGCTAATTGAAAGAGGCGCTGCCATCAACCTACGCACCGAAAATGGGGAAACAGCCCTTCATTTGGCAACAACTAGGGGATTCTCCGATGTTATTCAGTTACTGCTGGACAACGGCGCGGATGTGCAAGCTGTCAACAAGAGTGGGTCAACCGCGTTGCATTACTGTGCACTGCAAGGGAATGTTCAGGGTCTGAAGCTTCTGACTCAGAATGGTAAAGGTACACGAAAGGATGAAAATGATGGGAGCACCACCAAACACTTAACAGCCAAGGGTGGGAAGGGAGTGTATGTGAAAGGTTTACGAGACAAGGATGCCAGTATTGAAGCCAGGAACGTGGAAGGCTCAACATGCCTCCATTTGGCAGCAGCTAATGGCCACCTTGAATGCACCAGGCTGTTGCTAGCCAAGGGAGCTGACCCAAACGCAACTAACAAGGGAAGAGAAACTGCACTACATCTCACGGCCGAAGCTGGCCACAGTGACTGTCTCAGAGCTTTGATTGATTCGGGAGCGAACACAAACCTCAAAGGAGGTAGGGGAGAGACGCCCTTGCACAAAGCAGCTATCTGCGGGCACCTGAATTGCCTGGCGTCATTGCTACAGAATTCAGCAGATCCGACCATCATTTCTGAGGCGGGCTACAATGCACTCCACATGGCGTCGATAGGAGGACATTCAGACTGCGCTGCCTTCATTCTAGACCACGACGGTGGGGTTTCAAACAAAGACCTCGAAGTTGAGAAAGCTTGTCTACTGGCAGCTACGGAAGGACACTTGAATATTCTCAAACTTCTGGTGGAGAAAGGCTGTGACATCAATGAGATTCTTGATGGGCAAGGCACTGTGCTCCATGCCGCCGTGTCCAGTGATCACTTGGACGCTGTTCTCTATCTTCTGGACCATGGCGCAGATATTCATGCGACAAATAGACACGGAGCGACGCCTCTGGACCAGGCAGCATTCGAAGGGCTCGATCGCTACGTGAAGCTGTTCCTAGAGAGAGGTTCGAAAGTCAACAGACGAACATACAAGGGATTCACTGCTCTTCACATCGCAGCATCGGCGGGTCACATCAACTGTGTCGCCACGTTACTAAGCAACGGTGCCGATCCCAACATGAGAAACAATCAAGGATCAACTCCTCTTCACTTAGCGGTCTCCGATAATAATCTTGACTGTGCTAAGTTGCTGGCAGGGACAGATTGTGTGGACGTGAATATCCAGGACTGCGAAGGGAACACCCCGCTACACGTTGCTGCAGCTAACGGTTGTGCCGATTTCGTCGCCCTTCTGCTGGAGCACGGGGCAAATCCTGACGTTAGGAACGATTCGAAAGCCACTCCTCTGCACAGGGCTATCGTGCACGGTCACTTGGAATGTGCCAAACTTTTGATTCAGAGGGGCGCAGACTGCAATGCCACCGTCGACGACGGGAGCAGTATGCTTCACTTAGCATCATCCAGAGGGCATGCCAACTGCCTGTTATACCTCCTAAAGAAAGGGGCTGATCCCTCAGCAAGAAACAAACAGGGCGCCACGGCAGTTCACCTCGCCGCATTTCAAGGTCACTTGGAGTGTCTACGATTGCTAACTGAGATGGGTGCTGATGTGAACTTGGACTGCGGGGGTCAAGGCACGGCACTGCATGCTGCAGCATCACGAGGTCACACCCGCTGCATCGCGTTTCTCCTCGAACATGGAGCAAGCTCCGATGCTGTCAGTGAACAGGGAGCAACTGCATTTCATATGGCGGCTCTAGAAGGACAATTAGAATGTTTAAAATTGTTCCTCGATAAAGGAATTGACGTGAATGTCTGCGGTCGTGGCACGGCTCTGCATGCGGCCGCATCGAGAGGTCACGAGAACTGCATTAAGCTGCTTCTGGATAGTGGGGCCGATTTAAGTGTTACGGCAGAGTACGGAACCACTGCGCTACAGGTGTCTGTAATAGGGGGGCACATAGACTCCACAAAGTTGTTACTGCAGAGGGGTGCCGACGTTAACCAGAGTGACGAAGACGGAGATACCGCTTTGCATATTTCAGCTGCCAATGGAGATATCGAATCTCTGAACATTTTGATTGAATACGGAGCAGATATACAGGCCATGAATGGGCATGGGGCCACACCTTTTTACTTCGCAGTACGCGAAGGCTACCTCGAATGTGTTGTTAGATTGCTAGCAGCAGGCTCGGATGTGAATGAGAAGAACAATGGAGGCGCGACAGCACTGCACACGGCAACGGCTTTTGGATTATCAAATATAGTTACAACTTTATTAGAAAATGGGGCCGACATACACTGCACCCTGCCGAACGGAGACATGGCTATCCACACTGCAGCAAAGGAGGGCAAACTGGAGATTCTGAAAATCCTTCTGGAAAACAGGGCGGATATAGAAGCGAAGAATTGCAATGGATGCACTCCATTGTACCTGTCGGCAGAATGTGGACATGCAGACTGTTTGAAATTTCTTCTCGAAAAGGGAGCTCACAATAGTGTGAAGACAGAACACGGGACCACGGCGCTGCACATTGCAGCAGAGAATGGTCACGTGCAATGCATCACGTTGCTGATAGACTACGGGGCAGACACGGAAATTACGAACGATATCGGAGCAACGGCCCTCTTCTTTGCTGCCGTCACAGGTAACGTCAATTGCGCTAAAGCTCTCCTCGAGAAAGGAGCTGACATAACAAAGAAAACAAACGACGGGAGCACAGTGCTGCAAAGTGCGGCAGCATTTGGGATGGCGGAGTGCATGAAAACCCTGATACAACACGGCGCTGATGTAAATGATATGAGGTTTGACGGATCTACGGCGCTGCACCTGGCAGCACAAGGGGGCCATGCTGACTGCCTGAAAGTGTTACTGGATAAAGGTGCAGAGCCAAACGCGCAAGACAAGGCTGGAAGGACAGCAATGGTCGTAGCATCCGAGAACGGGAATGCGGAATGCATTAAAGAACTCATTGATAAAGGCGCTGATATTAATTTGAGCTCAGATGAAGGAAATACTGCCCTTCACGCAGCCTCTGTGTACGGCCATTCGAAATGCATTACATTGCTACTTGAACATGGTGCAAATCTAAAGGCCACCACTAGGCAACGAGCAACGACACTCCACCTAGCTGTTGACGGCGGAGATAAAGAGACTATTAACACTGTGCTTGACAGAGGGATTGGCGTCAACAACCGGGATGCAGATGGAGACACTGCTTTGCACGTAGCTGCCATGAACGGTGACATCACTGTTGTGAAGAGCCTGCTTAGTCACGGTGCTAACATACATGCCACAAACAGAAACTCGGCAACTCCTTTATTTGTAGCCGCTTCTGAGGGACATCTGTCTTGCGTGAAAATCCTGCTTGATGGCGGTTCTGATATCATGAAGAAGACTCTGAGAGGGGACACTCCATTACACGGTGCTGCGTCCTGCGGCAACGCTCTGTGCGCCGAACTATTGATAGAAAAGGGAAGCGATGTCCACGCAGCGAACACGCGTGGAGAGACGGCTCTGCATGTATGCGCCAGAAGGGGTCACCTAGAGTGTGTGAGAACCTTGCTTGAGCACGGGGCAGATCCTAACAAAAAGACTGTTTATGGTGACACAGCTCTCCACTTCGCTGCTATGTTTGGACACTTCAGTTGCATCGAGTTACTGCTTGAGAATCAATGCGACGTCCATGCAAGGAACAAGAAGGGCTACACGGCGTTGCACTGGGCTGCGGACAGTGGACACGCGGACTGCGTCAGCATTCTGCTCGAGAACGAGGCGCCGCCCAACCTCAGGGACTACAGCGGGTCCACGCCGCTCGACGTCGCGAAGAGAAACGAGAACATAAAATGCATTGAAGTGATATCTGACTTTGGCGGAAAGTTCTCCAAGAAAAGACAGGGTGTGTCCAAAGCCATCAGGAGGCTTTTCTACTGCATTTAACGGCAGTGTGTGACCATGTAATCCAAGGTAATGTTGTCCCTGTGCTTAACTAATCAAGCACCACGCCATGAAGACGTATGGAGGGTTATGTATAGATCCACGTATTCTTGACCTCGGCACTATTTGGAGGTGACTGATTAGCTTCACGTTCCGGCCGTTTAAACCCCTGGGAAGGATCTCGCGGCACCCATCGGATGTGAGGCTGGGTGGGCTCCACAATCGGTCTGGAGGACGCGGGGATGAGAAAAATCTTGCCCCTACCGGATCTTAAACTCTGACCCCTCGGCCAGTCGCTATAATGACTGCACTATCCCGGATGCACCACGTAACTCAAAGTGAATAAAAGTCTACGCAAGCAACTGTGATTACCGAAATATCTCTTTCAAAGGTTGAGTTAAACACGCTTTTATGAACAAAATTACGTCACAAGATCAGGTAATCGGAGACGGTAATTGTCAGTATCATCAGCTTACATAACCCGCACCTAAAAATTGTAATTACAATCTAAATCTGCCAAGTACTTTAGAAAAAAAAACAGTTTTATGCTTCATACAAATATTTGATAGAATATACACGAATGACAAGGCACTGAAACGAACCCCGGATAGCTCAGTCCATATAATGCCGAGTTATCTGGGTTCGAATCGTGGCAAAGGCAAGAGATTCTTCTCATTTCTACTGCGCCCAAACCGGTTCTGCTCAGCCTACCATCCAGTGGACACCAGGGGCTCTCCCTGGAGGCTAAGGGACCGAGCAGTGAAGCTGACAACTTATCTCCATCTAGATCCGAGGTTAAGAATATATGGAACTACACCCCCACTGCCGGGGGTACGGGGTAAAGGCACTATGCTACAAGTCAGAAGGTCGCGGATTCAAATACCGATGAGGTCATTTGATTTTTTTCAATTGACCTAATATTTCCGGCCGCACTATGGCCCTGGGGTCCACTCAGCCTTTAACAGAAATGAGTAAAAGGAATTAAATAGTTTTCCTGGGGAGTAAAGCGCGGCCGGTGCGTAAGGCTGACAACCTTACCACCATCTTTGAGCCGATTGTCTAGATAATGTGGGACCCTCAACGTCTCGCAACCCTATGGGCCTTCACGGCCTGTTACAGGGAAAGCTTTACTTTTTTTACTTACCTCCACTTCCACATGTCTAAATGGCTTGGTGCTTAATTAAGGACAACTGCACTTCTATATTTACACTACCTGCGCCTTGCGCGTGGTAATGGACATCTCACTACATTTTAACATGACTGTCGTTAAATCAATCAGTAATTTAACCGTCCCTGAAACAGTTTTTCGAATGACGGATTACTGAATAAAGTACGACTCGACTGAAGTGGCACAGTTGACTCACTAAGGCATCACATGAGGGTGTCCATGTTCATGGCTGTACGACACGCAGCAAGTTGGCTCAGTCGGTAACGCTTCTTCCCTTTGTTTGTTTTACGGCACTGTCATGAACATTGAAAGGTATGATCACTGATGAATAATGAGGTAGAAGTAATTAAGATCCAGAAGTTTGTGACATTATCCATCGTCTCGTCTGTTTTCTAAAAACAGTCATGTTTCTTTTTAAAAGCACAATGTTTCGGAGACTGAACTCTGTCCCCGTCCTCAGGTAAAACTTACTCAGTTGAGTCCAATAGAAAGAGCTAGCCCCTAGGGGCCAGAGGACAGAATCTAGTCTCCGAAACGTGTTTTGAAAAAGAAACATTTTATATTTTTAAAAAATATACAAGACGATGGAAAATGTCCAAAAGCAAAATATTTGTAGAGAGAAGTAATGTTGAAAAAGCTATTGTGGTCTAAATTTAGGTACTGTTCATGTATTCACGCGGTGCGACTGAAGAGAACCAAGATATCCTTTTCGAAAGACTAGGTGTCCTGACCGAGTCTCGAAGACACCATCAGAGTTAATGTCAGAAGCGGTACCGCTTGTGTCAAACTGCTCCGTGCATGGCTCTTAAAATTCCAACTTGTCACCATCCTTGAGGTCTGGAGTAAAATTTCAGTCCATTCGGTGTCCTGATCAAGTTTCAGAACTGTCTTCTCCGTAACATACCACGTCACCATGCTGTCTGTGTGTCTGTGCGTCCCCCCTATCAACATTAGAATGCCTGAACCAATCTTTATGAAACTTGGTATGTATATCACGGCAACTGAAAAGATCTCAGCGGCATAATTAAAACCCTTCAATCTGCCTGTCTGTCCATATGTATGTCGCCATATCATTACTAGCCAACGGTTCAGTAAGAACGTTACGGCGGCAACGAACACAAACCCAACAATAGAACAATTTTTAGACGCGTCCTTTCTTATTCTGTCCGTGACACATCAGAGGAAAGTAGGTGATTAGTGCTTCCCAGTAATTGTCGGACTTTGTTTAAATCTGCTTCATGCTTGAAAAGGAAAAGGTCTGATAGAAAGAGAAGAGAAGTGACAACCTTCAGCCAGGTAAATAAAATTTTCAGTTCCTTTCAATTGATCAGTTTATACAACATCAGCAAATAATGAAATAGGGGGATTCGAACTCCGACCCCTCGGTCCTTCAGCCAGTAGTCAGTCCCTATACCGATTACGATAACCTGAATCCACATTACAGGCATATGTCTCGTTCAAAATTACATTTCGTTTTCGAAATATTTTTGATATTTAACGCAGCGAGAAAGACGACATAAATACAGAGCCGAGAAATGCATGTAGGATATTAGTGGGAAAGCCAGAAGGAAAGAAAACACTGGGAAGACCAAGACGTGAATGGGTGGAGAATATTAAAATGTATCTTAGAGAGGCAGAATGGTATGGTATAGATGGAATTGATCTGGCTCAGGATAGGGACCAGAAGAAGGCTCTTGTGAACAAGGAAATAAATCTACGGGCAAATTCTTGAGTAGCTGCAGAACTGACGGTTCCTCACGAAGGGCTCAGCTACATGAATAAGTAAGTAAGTAATGCACAGAGAAAGATGACATAAATACAGAGCCAGATGTCTGGTTAACCTGTCTCGTGAATAGATGTTATAACGCAAGACTTCACCAGCCGCTTCACTTCTCTTTATTCACAACTATTTTTAAATATTCAACGTGAATTTCTGTCAGCTGCAAACAGCTGCAAATTTTGCTTGTGCGGGAGAAAGGAAAGACAGACGTGAACCTGCCGTGCAACAGAGCGCATGATTCATTCCGGGACCACATATCGACAGGGTGAAGACAAAGCTGTCCTCTGCTCCATTTCGCATCCCGCCATGAAGACGTATGGGTAGCTGATGTATTGCTCCATGCATTCTTAACTTCTGCAGTAGATGGAGGTGAGTGATCAGCTTCACGCATCTGATGATTTGCTCACGTGGAAAGACGTCCCAGTGCGTAATGGATAGGAGACTGACAGCTCAAGGGCAGGTGCAGTTGTTACAGAAAAGTGAAAAATTCCTGTTCTTGCAAGGATTCGAAAACCGATTCCCCAGTCATACAGTCTGTAGCCTAGTCACTAAACTGACTGAGCTACTCCTGCTCCTTGTGTTCTTTGAACGCCCAACAGACAACATGCAAAACACTAATATGTCTTTATTGAGTTGAGGCAAATGCATACAGTGGGATATAGTTCCAGGAACGCAACCAGAGGTACATATCGCAACAGGGCTCCCTCTCGGCCCGTAAGCGCAAGACTGCCTGGCTCTGAGAATGGAGCTGGGAATAAGGGAATGAAGGGAAACAGAGAGGAATGGGCAAAAGGAGACGGCGTGGACGCTGAAGGTGGAGAAGGTGAGGGTAGAGAAAAAAGATAAGACCAATAATGGAAAAGGAAAGGTGAAGGAAGTCAGATTCAGAAGGTAGTGAAAAGAGGAAAATAAAACTGGAAAAAAAACAGAGGATAAGGAAGGAGGAGAAGAGGAGAACGACTAAGGTGGAGACACGGGAAAAGAGAAAAATGTAAACTGAAAAAGGATAAGAAAAGGAAGGTATAACAGAGAGGGAAGGAGTTTCATTGCGTCTATTGCCTACCGGTCCACAAAATGTGGCATGGCTCTGCAAAGGTTTCACGCTCGTCCTGTCTGTTCTATGTCAATGCTCTTTAAACTTTGGCCGATTTGAGGGAACCTCGGTAGAAATATCAGGCCGTAAATGTGAAGGTGCAACGTCTGCACCTGCACCCTTAATTACTGCAAAACTGGAACCGGCAGTAGATTTTCATGGAGTGAACAAAAGTGAAGAAATCAGCAGAAACAATCTGTATTTTGGTAACGTGAAAAATACTTGTCAATACTAGGTAAACATATAAAACAACAAGGCGGATAGGGAGATGTCTCCTGAAACGTCACACACAGAACCACTGCGAATTGACAACTGAATCACGTCAACATATATTTCGTAAGGAAGAAAAAAGGTGATAAATTGAAAGTAACGTCCTATTTAAGCAAAAGAAAATATAGGGACGTTCTGAAACAAAACTGTACTCATTACTGTATACAGATCATGACATTCTAAGACAATACAGAGGAGAATTTGCAGCTCTAAATGATCAAAGTAAGAGAACGTACCTCAAAATTGTTTATTGCAAATTGTGTGGCGAACAACAGAAATTATGCTAGTGCGTCTACAGAATTATGAACTACTATTGCTAAGTGGGGATCCTTCCCCTAGCCGTCAACAACTTCCAGCTGTACAGCCCTTTAAATTGGCATCAAAATACGTGCCCACAGGGCATTCCCCTTCCACAATATTATACTTATTTAAACCGACGCGAACACACTCGTAGAATTTCCTACAACCGTCGGCTGCAAATACGCCTTCTTCCTTACACGCTGTCTTACACTTCGATGTTTTGGTATCGAACTCTTGTCCGTCACTGCATTTGACAACTGCCGTTGGCTGGTCGCGTACACAGATGCCATAGATGGAAGGATCCTTGGGATAGACGACATACTCGATTGGACGCGCGTATGAACACTTGATGGTCGCACAGTCGGCCGAGACCTTCTTGCGAACACAGGTGTGGTTCGCGTGCAGGTACACATAGCTGGCGGGACAAGTGTAGGTAGTGACGTTCAGGTAGGCGTTACAGGAGTGGAACGTCCTGCAGTCGTCAGGATCGGGAAAGTACCCCTCTCCGGTGCACTGGAATTCCTGCGAGCATTCTCGGCTCTTCGTCGCGCTACATACACCACTGTTACAGTAAGGCTGGTCTGGATTTTGTGCGGCGCAGCTGTAGGACCCTAATGAAAGGTTTGTTCCGTCGGGGAGAGATAAGCAAATCGGTGCTGTGCTGCAATTGTAGCAGACGGGCCTAGTTCCAGAGCAATGCACATCAGTTCCGGCAGAAGCGGCGAGAGCAGAAACCAAGGGCACCAGAGGATTGGGGGAATCTTCTGCGACCTCAGCATGCACCTGAATCCACAATAACTATAAATCCTTACAATATGCAATGCACGTCTCACTACAAACAGGAAGAGAGGGTGTGCATTTATAAACGCCTCGCAACAATCAAAACATCTTCCTTCGTTTTATTCTTTTAAGGAAGTATCTGCCGAAACGTCTTCCAAATAAACATTTACATATAGATTAAAGATAAATGATTCATATAAGCTTTGAAATTTTCATGGATGCGAATATTCATACTGGGATCCTCGGGGCTGTGACATGGTGTATTCTAGAAGGCGGTTACAGACGTTTCGGAGTAACATATTGATATCATCTTCAGGGTTCACGGATAAGCGAAGAAACCAATAACAGAACGAGCTGGGCAAAAAGGAAACTCGACATCTGCGAAAGTAAGCTACTTTGCGAAATATACTGCTCAGAAAAATTAGTATAGTGATGAAGTGACACTGTTCATATACGTTATCATTGCACAATATTGTTCATGGAGGAAATGCCGTAGAAAATTTTGCATCCAGAAAATGAACGACTTATTAGACAAATTTCTTCAGATACCATACCATACCGCCATCGTTGAGCCGATTGTCCAGCTAATGTGGGACCCTCAACATCTCACAACCCTATGGGCCTTCATGACACGGTACAGGGATAGCTTTACTTAACTTTTTTTTTATCGCGTGAACATCTCGATTTTACTGACACAAAAGTGTTACATTTCATAAGTACTCTTCTATTTCTGTAGTATATTTTGCTACGCTGGCAGCACCTAACGACCCCTTCTGTGATCTAGTGGTCAGAGTTCCTAGTTACAGATCCGGAGGTCCCGAGTGCGATTCCCATCGTTACCAGATTTTCTGAGAAGTAGTGGGTCTGGAACGGGGTCCACTCAGGCTCGTGAGACGGACTGAGAAGATATTTGAAGGAAACAGCGGTTCCGGTCTAGAAAACGGAGATTAACAGCCTTGAGGATCCGTTGCGCTCAACACGAGACACCCTCTATCGGTTAAAGTTGAAACTAATTTCGTATCGATAATCGGCGGGCGCTCGGTCGGTATAGTTCGCTTGCGGACCAGAGGCTACGGAGTTAGTCAGCACCTAGAGAAGTGTAGTGTCGAGAGACGGGATAACTGAGAAGTGATTAATTGGAAAGGAGTAGAAACAAAGGCGTCGTGGCCAATTCTAGATACTACTCCAACGTTTTCATGAAAGAACACTGGAAAACACTAAAGAAACACTCAAAGTAGACTGCGTTTCAACAGAGACAAGAACCCAGCACCCCTTCAATATAGGTTCAGAATATTAACGTTAAACCAAGCTGCCGTACGCTATATAAAATGAAATCAGACGCTGTGTCAACATGACGTAATGATTTACATCTTATGTAATCATCAGCAAGTTGCGATATTTATGTCTTCAAAATATAACGGGGAAACATACACACGGCACTGGAGATCTCCTTGAACACACAGTTCGTTTGTTCAGGAACGTCGCCAACTCAAAGGGTAAAGCTATCCGTGCAAAAGGCCGTGGAGGCCCATAGCGTTGTGAGACTCTGAGGCTCCCACATCTTCGAGACAATCGGCTCACGGTTGGCTGTGAGGTTGTCAACCTCACGAGTCGTCTGACCTTTATCCCCGAGGAAGAGTTCTGGTACTCATTTCTGTTAGAGGCTGAGTAGACCCCTTGGCCATAGTGCGGCTGGAAGGATTAGGTCAATTGAAAAATCAAAACACCTCACCGGGAGTCGAACCCGTGAACTTCTGGCGTGTACCACAGTGCCTCAACGAACAACTTACAGCATACCCTTACTCAAAGCGTAGAGATATTTTAAACAGCACAAGAACATTGTTCATGACCGCTGCTAATCAAGTAAAAACATGTCCTACTTGCTACACGCTGCGCATTCTGCCCATTTGCACACAAATATATATGACTAACATTCATCGTATCTGTAACTAACATTTCAGTCAGACTACGTGAAACAGTCTCTTCCTGTCAAACAAATCGGTGTGCTGAAATGAACCAGTTTCTCCAGGAAACCCGTCAGAAAACTGATACAATGTAACAGGCTGCCTGACTGGACTGCCACTGATATGAAGAGTGGCTGCATCAGTGGAAGAGACTGACTGACTGACTGACTGACTGACTGACTGACTGACTTATTGGACTGCCACTGGTATGAAGAGTGGCTGGGTCAGGCCGACCTCTCCTATCTGATAATATTAAAGAGTTAAACATTGTGTTACCGCCACAGAAGCGATGAGCAGTGACACCACCAAGGAGATGAAGCCTCGTTCCTTGTGTGCCTCCATTGCTGCTACTGAACTTCCAGCATTCCGTCCAGCCTTATATACTGATCAGAGTGCAGGTTGAAATCCCGTCGCAACCCAGTCTCTTATCTGTTGGGTTTCTTATAAATCTGAAGGATCATTTACTGCTTCCCTCCGAGTAGTTCAAATATACCATTACAACACCACTCAACCATGTTGCTATGGTAACATCAGGAAATAATTTCATTAATTAATACTGTCATAAAAATCCCTAACTTGGAGACATGTTTTACATCGTGGAATACATTTTCATACTGAATTTCCATTCAAATCGTCACGATCCTCGCTTCATTATTTTCTTTTTTGTGTACTGTATTGTGAAAAGCCGGTCAAGGTAGCCGAGCGATCTAAGGCATGTACTGTCTTCGCTCGCTAGGAAGCCGGGATCGTGAGATCGAATCCCACACAAGGCATTGATGTTTGTCATGTGTATGTGTCTCTTCTGTGTTTGTGTTGACCTGTGCTGAGGCAGAGGCCTTGCGACGAGGTGATCACCCGTCAAAGGAGTCGTACCATCTGTAAAAACGATCAATGAAACTGAGAAATCAGCCCTGTGCTCCAAAGTTGGAGCGAAGAGGAAGAAAAGAAAAATAAATTTTGAAAAATAAATCGATTTTCATTAGACTCAGAACTTGTTCAAATTTAAATAACGCAATTATTCGATATGTTTATTAATTTGTATGTCTTGCATACGGACCATTTTCGATCTGTCCCTTGTCACCACGGCATGGTGCGTCCTCAGGTTGCGAATGGGGAAGACGTCTTCCACATATAGAGGGAAATTGCGAATATATGGAATAAAAAGCCGAGGACAGCCGACAAGGGGTGATCTTACAGCTTGGTGGTTGGGAGTGGGGCTAACAACTCCTCACATTAAAAAATAACCGCGTTACGAAAATGTATATAAAACCTCGGATCTCGACGGATCATCTGGATAAACGAAATAAGCTACAAAAATGGACATGGGATTCGGAACTTGGAAGATTAGAGAAGTTTGTAAAGGGCACTTCCGGTCAGGGCAGTGGCGGAAGATATCTCAAAGAATAAGTTATATTTAGCGGAAGTACAGGAGGTCAGATGGGACGGAGGTGGCATTGAACCAGCAGGCGAATATACATTTCTCTATGGAAATGGGAATGAGAAACACGAATCAGGTACAGGTTTCTTCGTACATAAGAAACACAACAGCAGGTAAGAGGGTAGAGTTCGTTAGTGATAGGATATCATGTTTTTTTTTATTTATCATTTATTAGCAATCTGAATTTACATTCTATGAGCTAATTTGCTATCATGTACAATAATTATTCTAATATCATATATAACACTTAAAGGTCACTGGTGTGATATCATCGTTATGAATGTTCATTCCCCAACATAAGATAAAACTGATGACATGAAGGACAGGTTCTATGAGGAAGTATAACGGTATTTGATAAATTCCCGAAGTACCCTATGAAAATTTTGTTAGAAGATTTCAATGCCAAAGTAGGAAAGGAAGACATTTTCAAACCAACAACTGGGAATGAGATTTTCCATTAAATTAGTTATGATAATGGAGTTAGAGTAGTAAACTTTGCCACATCAAAAACTCTCAAAAGAACAATGTTCCCACATCGTAACATCCATAAATTTCCTTGGGCATCTGCTGATGGGAAGACATGCAAGACACACAGAGGAGCAGTGGGGGGAACCACCGAAAATGAAGTTAGAATCAGCTACTGGGGAATGATGTTCAAACCGCAGACAAAAGAACACCAAGCAACATTATTGACAACAGTATTGACTTTAAAGTCCCTAGGCAAACGCTTAAGTAATGCCGTAAACTAGCCTGTACTTCTCCCGCTATGGACGTCATATTTAACGTTTCCAGTAGTCACTTATAAACTTCGATATTTGGAAAGAAGTCGTGGAACAAACCATTCACGGATATCGTCATACCATGCCGACAGGAATTCTTGAAGGAGTGACAAACAAACGCATTTTGCGCAGGTCATGCCGACCAAACTGTGACAAAGTGACGACGAATAAATCGCTGGAGAGACATTTTAAATTTCAAGAGGAGAAANACTGTAAAGAAACACATTTCCAATCTTGTGGTCTGCATTGGGGAGTAAACATTTTCCGATGTTCTTCTGTGCAGAACCCCAAAACATTCAAGTACCTTGTCTAGTTCGCTAACTTGTGAAATTGAAAGCCATCAAAGTTGAAAGTAATCGTTTGAAACATCGAGGAAGGGAAGGTTTAATTAATTAGTCAAATGGGCATCCGTACAAATCTCTCTCATTTAGGTACCTCACGGCGCAAGCGCCAATGCAACGTAGTTTAATGTTCCAACATAATTTCCTAATACTTCAAAAATATATTTGAAAAACTTTCAATCTCTATGATATTAAGTTCCTTCTTTCTAGACTGTACAATTATAATCATTTTCTGTATTTTTTATTAATTGATAAAACAAATTTTATATAAGTGTCACACTGTAAGGGGTTTCCTTTTTTAAATAAAATAAAGAAAGGGGTCCCGAAACTCAGGGCACACTAATATCTCAGAACGTCACTGTATCTAGGCCTACTTGAATACAAATTTCTATCAATGCCTAATCATAAATAACATGTTTTACACCTTGCCTTATGTGGTTCAGTAAATAATAATATAATCTGCAACTGTTCCCGAGATTTCTTCACTTTTAACACAAACACCTTACGAAATTTATACCGCCTACAATATAAATTGAGCAACATTAGTGCCGTTGGCCTCGTGACGCTGAATCCGGAAATCCCACTTCAAATTTACAAGTAACGAACAAATAACAAACAGGAACACGACGGAGTCTCAAACGAAAACAGTCCAAGGGCAGCGCGGCTCGCTGGAGAGGATATAAGGCTAGGCAGATTGCTGGAGAACCATTGCCATAACAGGGACCGACAGGGCACGGGACCCCATCGCTCTGCGCATTGCATTGCGCATCACTTCCATCACAGCAGTAATACAGCATATATGCATGCTTGCTTGCTTACTTACTTACTTA